CAGGATATTCCCGCAATGTTCTGTATATTTTTTGAACATTCTGGGATATTCATAGAATATCTCGGAAGAGGCAAAGCAGGGAAGGGCGGGAACAGAGGCAAAATGAAAAGGCCAAACAGACCGACACCAACAGACAGGCAGAGGAAGATGCCGCCAGCTGACGGTACCGGGATCTACAGTTCGCCCCCAGGAGAGAACTCCAGGTTGTCTTCCTCTCAAACAGGCGGGATGGCAACGTTCTCCCTGAGGAAGTAACACCGCTCAGAGCTCACATCAACGAGATGATCCAGGAAATGGTGGGACCTTCCGCAAGTTCCCGGAGCCGGAGCTTCGCGTTCTAGGAGAACAGTGTGGCTGCTTCTTCTGTAAGGTTCTAATAAGTAGTGTTAATCTTCCTTATGACGCTGGGCGACTTTCCCCGCGGAAGAATTTGCAAAAAAGTCGGGTTTTCAAGCTACTATAGCTTGCGTTTCCAACGCGCATAAAGTCAGGGGTACCTTTTTACTGAAAACATAGAAGTGTTAAACAGGACCAAGCGGAGCCAACGTTTGCCAAGCAAGTCCGACAGGAAGTCATTGACAATGCTGGCAACCTGCAATCTGAATCCAAAGGTAAAAAACTGAAGTGTCAGGAAATATATCGATCCGACTATCGCATGATCCGATTCGAAATTGAGTCGGACCAGAAAGACATCACACCGAAAAAGAGAAATCCGAGGAAAGATGACTGTTCCCAATACAGGAACCCCCTCTACCTCAAAGCAAGGAGAGACATAGTATAGGAAAAAACGTCTGGAGCGCATTGCAGCTCATCTTTCTACAAATATTACACCTGTCTAGGACAAACGAGGCCGATATTTAAATAGGCCCAATGATTTCCGAAAATGTAAAAAGACAAGTGCATAATCACATCAGTAGCATTCCAAAACAGACAAACACAAATGAGAAACATTTGAAAGTAGATTTAGATGTCACTGAATCCTTTAGCCCTGTTGATTTCGATTCTGAACAATTTTTGTTAGCTACAAGGTTAATTATTTTTTAAATAATAGTATATAAAATCGAAGATAAAATATGGACATTTACAAGAAATGTTTGACTTTCGCAAAATCAAGATTCTGCTACTTTTATATGCATTTTCAATATTTCTTAGTATTTAATATTTAATAAAGTTTTTGCTGAAAAACACTTATGAATGTAACTTATTCCCTTCTTCCACCAATTGCAACTTTAAAATCTGGAAGGAAGAAAAAATTATTTGCATATCCCATTATTGCACCATAAATTATATTTTATAGTTTATCACTAAAAAAAATGTTGTCTTTTTTTAAAAATTTTCATATTATTACGTATCTCCTTCTTGCATCATGGTCTTCAATTCGAAATGTGGACAAATTTATATTAAAATCCGAAAAGCAGTCCGGGTATATAACAGGCAACATATCGTGGCGGATTGTGGGTCTTTAACCGATAAAAATTAACCCAAAACCCGATAAGACCTTATAACAATAATAAAACAAACACAACTCGGGGAACATATATATTTAGAAAAAAAATTGTGTACAAGATTAGCTATCTATATCATTTCACTGTGAAAATGACTTGCATATATTCTGATGCTTACACTTTGTTGAAGGCCATGGCTCTCACCTAAAATGATATTATTTTTCCGGATATTTGACTTTCATTCAATGTGATTAAAGAAATAAACCACTCACGTTATTTACATAGAGTAACATTTTGCGCTGTAATTTGATGTACGAATTATTGAAGTGATGACCCTAGCAAAATTAAAATATAGTTTTTTCGAGACGCGCAACTAAAGTATAACGTGAGTTGGCAATTTACTAAGTAAAGATTAAACCACCAATGTTTGGAGCTCTCCTTTTTCATGCAAGCTCTTCACATCGGATCCTCCTCCTACGCAATTGCCTTTAATAAAAACTCTTGGTACCTGAAAACAAATATTAAAATTTACTTACGCTCAAGCTATATTAAATTAGAATAAAAAATGAGTGAAAATCATATTAAGTAACCAAAATTAAATTTCTGTTTTTAAAACTCAAGGTTAAGGAAAGCTAGTAAATGTTGACTGGGAGCGCAAATCTTTATTTTCACGCTTTTACCTTATCTATCTTTTATCTTCATGGTATTCAAAAAATATTTAGAGCCTGCCTACTATATCTAGCAATGGTTATTAAATATGTAAAAATGTGGACAATTTCAGTATCATCGTTCTGGAAAATTACCGCAATAGAAACAATTTAAGATAGATTTCTGAATTGCTTTGTACACCCACGTAACTTTAAACACGCAAAATTTCAAAGAGAACATTCCGATTTCCTAAAAAACAATTTATCATAGGAAAAACCCGTTACTTGAGTCATAAGCGTTGTATTTACATTTTACTAAGACAAGAACATAGAACTAAAACAAGTCTAAATGGTAATTACTAAACCAAACTTTAAGAATTTTTCAATCATTCAATGTAAAACTGTCTTATTCACCATCGAAGCCACTTTAATCGCTTTTGCTACCATCATATCATTTGACCGTTCTTAAAAACTGTTGAATTAAACATACACATTTTTTATTTATTATTTTGAGAGATCAAAGTTAACAATCAAGTGACTCATACCTACTAACCTAGAATCTGAATAAAATAGCATCAGTATCATTATTTGTTAAACAAGTTTTAATAAAAATTTGACGCGATGAGCAAATATTTACATTTACTGCAAGTCATCAAGACTTATGACAAAAGAATTAAATCATTGAAAAACCTTTGCGCTTAATGTTTTTGACAGAATACAAAGAAAAATAACAAGTTAAAAAATGTAAGTAGTAATGTTTGCATTATATACAATAGAGAAAAGTGTATTAAAATGTTAGCGATCAGAAACGTTTTTTTTGCCCTTATTAAAATAGATTCAGGTAGTAGTTGAATTACATTGTATGCGAACCTTTTACTACCTGTGAAATATAATTTGTGTTAAAACTAACGGTTATAGATAATATTCCTCATTCATACCCTATTGCCAAATTCATTTGATAATGTACACTTTTCTGATGCAATTATTGCCAAGGTATTCATAAAATTTAACAGAGTAGCCCAAATAGCATCGATATCGAATAATACAGCTTATGGGGCCTGATTTAATATCTGGCCTATTAGTATGAATAAAATGTTCATTGCTCAGAAAATAGCCCTCAAACAATCTAAACTGCCACCCTTTAAGTAAAATATTATTAAAATTGGAAGCGTAATTTTGACCGAAGTGGTGTGACACTTCCTAAAACTTGCTCTTTCCAAAGTTATTATTTTAGCTGAACTTAAGGCGTTGATCTACTAAGCAATTTGTTTAGTAAATATGCAAGTCGCAACTCCCGGTAAAAAACTTGTGCCATGAGTGCATTAAGCCCGGTTATTAATTAATACCAACATGATACTCACAGTCTTGGCTCCCGTAATTTCACCAAGAATCTCCTGAATTTCTTCCGCATCGTCTCGTAAGTCCAATTCGATGGTTGTATATTTCTCTTTTATTTTGTCGAACACCTGGAAAATACATTAATGTTTACTATATACTAAAGGCAGATATTTGAGAACGCTATATCAGTATCAAATGTATTTTATATAAACGTTAAGTTTGTGGGTTCAAAACTTAAAATGTATAGCAATGCAATGCATACTATTTAACTTCCTTTGGGAGACTGAATTGATTATTTCAGTAAAATTAAAGTTGCCCCAAATGTATTAATGAATGCTGAAATCATGGGTGATAAGTGTAAGTGAAGAAGGGATGCATCCCTACCGTTCTCTCAATCTTTCGCCCTAAACCTTTTCTTTGCTATAAAACAATGCCCTTGGATCCAAAAATGCATTCCGAAACTGCGGTTATTAAGAAGTGATTGTGAGACCAGTAGGTGTGGACCCTTTGAAAGGGTTCATTTTTGGATCCTTAAAACAAGCGCTTGTAGGCGAGATACGATCAAGCGGTAAATTTCGGGAGCAACAATAAAATGTTGTACTCAATTAGGAAGCACCCTGCATAATAATTAAAAACCCTTTTGCTTTAAAACAAGCGACACAACGTCTAGTTCCATTATAAACGGATGTGCCACTTATCGCAATATCGCAGATAAATAAAGCGCATTCGCTTTCTTATTCATCTATTATTAGTCACTTAGTATTTCCTGCTTATTGAATATCGGAAATAAATTTGATTCTTTTGTAATGAAGCGATTGTATGTAAGTTAATCTTATTTAAATCTGTGTGGAACAGTTGACTGCCGTTTGAAACAAGTTCAAGTGGTCAGAATTAACTAGTGCTATTTTCAAAATAAGCTCACCTCTTTAGCCATTTTACAGTAAGGGCAGTAGGTCTTGGAGAAAATGACAACTTTATCGCTGGCTATTAAAGTTTTCACTTCGGTGGCTTTGGGTGACGACATATCGACAATTTTGGACCTGAAAGCACCCATTTTCCGTGTAAAAAATCCTATTGCATCAGCGATGCGCCAATATATAAAATCTAGAATTCTGCTCATGTTTTTCGTCAAAACAATAGTATTCAAACCACTATTATTAAAATTAACTTAAGTTCTATCAGTTGATAAAGGAGTGACTTTCAAGGCTACTTACTCGACTGGTTTGGAATGACAATCACCTTCAAATGATTATTAATAATTTGTGAAATTACCTTTTAAATAATTATCATAAAAACATTGACTGTTTTAGGTTAGACCGCGAAATACTTCAAACGCTGATCGATTCTGCAGTAAAGTCGCGTACACATTTGATCAATTGACCCGTGAAAATTAGCATTTACGTAAGTACCCAGAAGCGAATCGAGCACGCTCATGCTGTGCGACAGTACATTTTATAAGACTGTAAAATTTTTCTGCACGTTATTTCGTAGTTTAGTTGTGCGACTATTTATTGAATATTCCACATTCATGCCATTAGTCTAGGTTTTTTCCCCAAAAAATTTGATTTGAAGGTGATCGGTTTGTGTGCCCGCATGCGATACGCACGCATAAGATAATTTTATTATTTTTACTTACAAGGTACTTATAGAAAAAAACGTTCTACTAATATTACTGGGGTGCTGGTGTCGTTTGAGGTTCTCGGAATTTCTAGTTTTGTCCATCCGTGCCTTAAAGATCACTTCAAATTAAGCACTCTCAGTGGAAACTTTTCCTGAAGGGTCCATAAATTAAGCCAAAAAACATTCACAAACTAGGGAAACTTGCCATTTTAAAGATAAATTTCACGCGGTGTTGCCAAACTGCAGAAAATATTTTAAGTTAATGAAAACTGTTACCTTGGATACCTATCATGTAGATTCATTCAATTTGGGTTAATTTGGGTTAGTTTGCTTTAGATAGGGTTATATAGGCACTAGCTACCATGCTAACACAAACTGAATCAAGTGGTTCATTCAGTTTGAATGAATACTTTTTATTCATTGTTACATACAAACTGTTAATAAATGGGTGAAATACGTGGCAACACCGCATTGTGCTAAATTCACCAAAGAAATATAAATGACTATCGACCTATATAAGCCTTGTTCTATGCTATCGACGCTACATAATCTCAAGCAAAGGCGAGGCCGGAAAAGATGCTCAAACTTTTGCAAAACACGGAATTATTATGCATCTTAGCGACAATTTTGCATGTGGAGTTATGAATTGTTGATACCTAAAACACGATTTAGCAGCAAATTGCACCGGACAATATCATTTTCGTGCGTAAATAAGTGGTTTTTGAAACTCAAATTTCAAAAGTTTGTGAGTGTTTTTTGGCGTAATTTATGGACCCTCCAGGAAAAATTTTCACTGAGAGTGCTTAATTTGAAGTGATCTTTAAGGTAAGAATATAAAAAACTAGAAATTCCGAGAACCTCAAACGACACCATCACATTCGTATTTTGCAACATTGTATTTGGAACATTGTTGTAGGTGACAACGGCCTGTAAGAGGCGGGACTTCGTTAAAACGTCATCGTCAGCTGTTCGATACCAATATGGAGTTTTGATTACATTAGTGTTTGTGTATGATGTTTATTGACGATTTCGTAACTCCTTTCGCGTAGCAAGAATACAAGGCTATCGAAACCAAATTTCCAGTATTGTCTCTCTGCTTTTGTGTTTGTTCCATATTTTGTGACTTTTGTGCGAATAACTGAACTCATGAGTAGCCCAAGTGCAGCAGACAGCAATGGGCCCAAAAGCTACTTTGTTAACTTCAACCAAGATAGCACGTAAGTTTGATTTTTTTATGGATTTCTCTGCCAAGAGTTTTACATGTCAGGCCATGGGGTAATTGCCATAATTGCCAATAAATACATGCAACCATTTCAGAAGCAGCAAGTTTTACCTTGACTTTTCACAAATTCTTTGTTTATAAAAAACACATACCTGTTTTGTGCGTTTTAATGGTTCAAGCTGATAAAAAGTGAATGGGTCGAAGAGTCAATGTCACACTATATAATATTATAAAGGTATACTTCGGTACGGGAGTATTTCGAAATGAACTATTGTTTTATGTTATGCCTGTTAAAATGGTCTTTTTGCTCTAAGCTTCATTAAGGATTTACTTCTAGCAGACAGAAAATTTTCATTCTACAGTTATTAGATTCACCTTTAATCACATTAAGTACCCACCTAATTCAAAACAAAGAATATTGTAAACACTGACTTAGATGCCGCAGTACTTTTAGGATATTTAATAAATTATTAGGCATTTTCTCAGTATTTAAGGGTATATTATGAACAATTGTCTGCACTTTCCACTACTGAGATTGAGACTTTTGGCCCACGGACTCATAGTCATAGTCATTTTCATAGTCAAAACTGTCCCATGAGCTCTGGGTAGAAAACTGCATAAATGCACAATAGAAAAATTCAAATTTACTTAACTTTGATGTCTTGAATTTGTAATGTAACATAAAAATAAAACATGAATAAATCATTTTGTTGAAAAAGTATTTATTAAAATTATAACTTTTGTTTTAAAATACAAAATAAATTAATGACTTATGAAAATTTCCTTACTCCATCATCTATGTTAGTGGCGTAAAGAAGTTGACTCACACATTACTTCAGGTCGAAAATTCTACTTGTCGAAAAAAATTGTCACCAAATTTTCAGGTATTTGCTTTCAAGATTCACTAACGAAAGCCGAAAACGTAGCGTTTTTCTTTCTTAATCAGTTTAAAACCCGACAAGGCTGGCGTTTCGTTTTCGTCGCACCACCCTGTAACCACCACCGTATATGTAATTGGTTCGCTTACAAATAATGATACTTTTGGTGTAAGGTTTATTAAGTCTGCGGTTAATAGTTTACCAGATATACAGGGTGATTCAATATTAGCGTCCTTCCTCTGGGGGTGTTTGTTTTAGAAATTAATTCTTATCAAAAACTGAGTTATTTGCAAAAAACTATGTCAGAAGATCGGCAACAATGTTTTCCCCATTACTACTAACATATCCGCATATTCGATATTGGTGTACATTTTATGAAAGAAGCTTTAAACTAAGTCACAATTTGACAAATGCTTGTTATTCTTGACAAAAGCTATCTACCTGATAATGACAAAAAAAAACACCATTGTCGCTTTGGCTTTTCATCAAAAATTGTAGAAGAGTAATTTTTTAATATCGGGAATTTTCGTATCGTAATTTGAAGTACCTAAAGATCGTAATTTTTTATTTCGAAGTACTCCAATAGGCTACCAATCAAACATGGGACCATTTCAAAATAATACTTAAACTTACTTTCAACTGCTGTTAATTCTTCTATAAATTTTGGGAAAAATATTTTTCAATATTTTTCTTGTACTCTCCAAGTGCCCCTTAAAAGAAATGACGTCAATTTTGAATCACCCTATATATTCGATGATCTATTTTTTCCGCACTTTTTCATAAAACCCTCTTTAGAAAGAATATTTTATAGCCCTGGAATTTTTGCCTTGGTCACGACATACTTTTGTTAAAGCTTCGTGTATTCCAAATACATTATTTCCGATTAAACAACACGCAATAATGCAAATTTTTTGATTTTATACATTTTATTCTATTATTATTTCATATTTATTATTGTATATGTTTTTAGCTAGATGCTATTTATTGTTTACTGACAAAGATTGAAACAACAATGAGAAAAGTAATAATTACAAATTCTTTAAATTAAAAATGATAACAAGGCTCTGATAAGATAAATTACTACGTATTGCCATTATTTTACACATTCACCTCTTTGTTTATAATTTAGTTTTATCAAACAATAGAAAATGTACTGTACACAGATGACCTCAAATTCAAACTAAAAAACAAACTCAAGCATGATATCTGAATCACATATTTCTAAATTTTATCTCATCTCTGCATAATGTTTTTATGATGTAAATTTTAAAGTTTTGTAAAGCGTAATTAAATTTATCTTCAAATTAGCTCACATCACGGTTCAATTTATATTGTGTTCTTTAAATGCTAGGAAACCGAATGTTAAATCAGCTATTTTACAATTAAGTTGCCATTTGGAGGTTATCAGTATATGTTATTGATGAAACTATTCTAAAAACATAGAAAAACTGCATTTCTGCAAATTTAAAACATTAAAATAATATTTATGAATAATCAGTCAATTGATAGTATGAATAAATGTGTCCCAAAATCTATCTCTATCCAGTCGTATCTCAAAAACCATAAGAGCTGGAAAATATTTTTACGTAGCAAAATTGAAGCAGATTTATTAGCAAAAACGGGTGCTCCACAAAGAGAAGCGATTTGACCCGTTTTGAATTGCACTATTCTTTGAAACCAATATTTAGAAAAGCGGTGCGAAATATCATGTGATGATTTAATAAAATTTTTAAACTACTTTATATCCAGCATTTCCTATAATTCCAAAAGTTTTTCGCCTCAGTCGGAACTACTGGTAAATATTGTTGGTCAATATTTACATAAATAATGATATCAATTTTTCAAACGTGTTTTGCTTATGGAAAACTGATAAATCCGTCGTCAATCTGCTCTAGATAAATAGTCAAAACATCAATATCTATCTTGTCCACTTACTACAAATATTTGCAATTTTAGTTTACTAAAACACCCCGTGTTCCTTACGATCTCTTCTAGGAGTTTATTTTCATTTACGTTTCCATTAATAGTATTCATTCACACAATTCAGTTTTTCAAGTCTCTGTTTTATGTCAGTTATTGTACAAGGTGTTGTAAAAGAAGTAGCCCAATCCGTTAACTTCAGGTTTCTTGAGCCAAATGAAGGCGAGTTTTATAATATAATTTTTCCATTTTGTTCCTCCGTGTTCGATATACAGGGTCCCAAAGGTTAAATAAAAATTGTATTTGTTCGAAATAGCTTCGTAACAAGTTTCAATATTACCACAGAATTCCGGGATTGGGATTTCCAGACCAGAAAATCGAATTTGCTTATAATCTGGTTGTAACTCCTAAAGGGCGCTCGTTACAGTAACCTGAACCTGTCTGAAACAATACAAATTTTTTGTGTTTTACGTGTTTGTGTTTTTTGAGAATAATTTCTTTTGGTCACGTCCTAATCTTTGATTGTACAGAAAAACGATTTTTGATGCAAGGCGGTATCTCGCAATGTGTTCGGGATTTTTCACGTTGAAACGTTCAGTCGATCTTTCAATGCTATGACCTGGGTGCCACAATATTTTTTACTATTTTTTCTGTACTCCTAAAACACCGCCAGAGGAATGGCGCCAATTTTGCATCACCCTGTATAATGCATAAAATTGTAAAATTATATCCGCTAATACCAAAATGTTATTGTTTTTTTTGTTATTTTTCAGATCACTAGTGGTTGGAGGTCAATTTGGCTACAGAGTACTTAGCCTTGAGTCGGTGGACTTTTTGTCTGAAATTTACAACAATGCCACTGAACATTCCTGTATCGTGGAGCGATTATTCAGCAGTAGTTTGATTGCTGTTGTATCACTAAGTTTTCCTCGAAAACTCAAGATAACTCATTATAAGAAAGGGACTGAAATTTGCAACTATTCGTACACTAACACCATTTTGGGTGTTAAACTTAACAGGTAAGAACTTATAACGCACTATATACATATTTCATATTGGATCCTGTACTCGAATATTTCCTATGTTTTTCCCTGTAAATCACTCTGTTTTAAAACATTGTTTCATGCATCCAACTGCAATTCAGACCTTATAACACAGATACAGATCACGTTTTTGTTTGGATTAAAAGAGCCGTTCGATGTATGCAGTCATAACTTTAACTTTTTGTTTCAAAAAGTACACCTTCACGCAATGGGGGATGCAGAAAATCATCAATTAAATTAAAATTTCAAAGTATTATTTGATTGAATTGAGCATGAAATTGGAAGCATCTTGTCACGACGAGCACCTCAAAGCAGCAATAAAGAACGGTTTCATGTTATTTTCCAATTTTTATAATATAATTGAAGATGAACCTTCAGAGGAAAGAATTTTTGTTTTTTGGAATGAATTTGAATAATTTTTATTTTTATTTATTATCCAATTGCTTCAAAAAACTGCGAACAAAATTATGCTGCAGTAGTACTTAACATAAAGCAAATTCACAAAACATCGGAAGTAATCAGCAAAATTAATGTATGTTTAGCACTTGGAAAAATTGGTATTCTCCTTTAGACATAAAAAATAATTCCTACGAATTGATAATGTCACATCGGACGGAGCATTTTATTTCAGTTTTTCAAACTTTTTTTTAATAACAGTTATGCAGCTGTTCAGAGAGAACAGCCTCATGGTACTGTGTATATAGTAACCAACTTTACGATTGCTGTTATTATATTCCTATTTTTGTAACAAAAAATGTGTATTTCATATTATAGAGCTCGAGTGGTAGTATGTCTTGAGGAGAGTCTTTATCTGCACAATATCAGAGACATGAAAGTGCTCCACACGATACGAGACACACCACCAAATCCTCGAGGATTGTGCGCTCTTAGTTCGAATAGTGAAAATTGTTACCTAGCTTATCCTGGGTCATCTTCCGTTGGCGAAGTGCAAGTCTTTGACGCTATGAATCTGGTGAGTCTCCTGTGAATTTGAAAAATAAAATCAATTTATTATGCAACATTGAACAGATTAATTTTTCACTAGGGGTTATTGCTAAGCCGTCAAGGTAGGTATAGATATTTTTTTTGTATATTTTATTATGAAGTTATTCACATATTACAAAAAATATCTAGGTGTTGAATTCCCTGTATAATTCTCTCCTGCAACGTATATCAGGAATGAAGCAATACATATATATGTATGTTAAGTCAGTCATCACCAAAACACCTAATCGGCAAATTAGAATTTACCAAGTGCTTACATCAGAAACTTATGTCGGCTTTGATGCTACCGAAAGTTTCATTATTGTTCAAACATGTCTCTGCCTGTTGTTGCAGGTTTTGAAAAACTACCTGTTGTCTTTAATAAATCCTTCATTAGTAGAAAATATTTATATACTCATGATGGTACAAAGAAAAGTATTGATACGTTTTTTTCTTTTTTCTAGACCGCAAAAATAATGATTCATGCCCATGATAGTGCTCTTGCGGCTCTGGCTTTTGCTCCCAGCGGGCTCTCGATAGGAACCGCATCAGAACGGGGTACCGTTATTAGAGTATTTTCGGTATCCGACGGATCCAAGTTGTTTGAATTCCGTCGCGGAGTCAAGAGATGTGTAAATATATCTTGTCTTTCGTTCAGTATGTGCGGACACTTCTTGTTGTGCAGTAGTAATACTGAGACTGTTCACATCTTTAAATTAGAAGAAGCGAGCAAAGAGAGGTGAGTGACCTCATTTATATAGTTTTTTTTGTACGCAAAAATCTCGAGATATGCAATGAGGCCAAATAGAAAAGTATTTGACTGAACTTTAATAATTAACTTACGCCTTATGGACCTAGTTTTTACTTTTTTGCATATTTTTTAAACTTGCCCATTTCGAATTGCCATTGAGTCAGGTGATACACAAATTCCCCGGCAGTGCTCACTTATACGCATGAAAAGAAGGCCTCTGTTATCATGAGAATCAGACAATGTCTTTTTAAAAAAGCTGATAAAATAGAGGTTTAAATCAAAATGTACGTCAATGTTCTGATTTTATTTTCAGTAAAAAAACTATAGACGAGGGAACATGGATGGGCATGCTTTCCTCATACTTACCTAGTTCTGTAACTGATACATTGTCTACATTGAACCAGGATAGAGCTTATGCTACTGCAACCTTGCCGTGTGCCGGCGTGAAAAACGTGATTTCATTAGTTTAGTAAGTATTTTTTAGATTAAGAAAAACCTTTAACTCACCTGAAACTTTTAGACTTCCTTCCATGTTTTATTTTTTTTTATCAGGTACGCTGTATCAGTAAGCTGTTTAATAAGCTGTAATGAGTGGTATTTCAGAAGTGTAATTATTTTTAAAAAATTTCAGTTAAAGTATTATTGGTTCTACGAACAACTATGTAATACCACCGGAATAATAAAATATAGTAATTTTCTTAGATGAATTTGAGACTCAAGAACTGTTAGATGTTTACTTGTTCCTGTTCTATAACTGTTTGTAGATTTTATAAGCCCCCCCTGTTGAACTTTAGAAAAGTCCTCATTCCTCAGTCCTAAAATTTCACAATTTCAATATTTTATACTTTTTCCACGGGCCACTAATTTATCTCATTATTACAGCATTGGCGATGGCTTGAGACTTTTAGTAGCCACAGAAAACGGGTTTTTGTACATATTCAACTTTGACGCCAACGTAGGTGGTGAGTTGCAATTGTACAAAACGCATCAACTGGACGACCTCAACGGAGATCAATCGGACGGAGGCCAGAAGGTCGCCTCCGGTGATAAAGCTGGATCAGGTAAATAGTTTTTGATTTCGTTGATTTGTTTTGTTAGTTTTGAGCATAATTTGCGTAGTGTTTTAGATTATTGTATGTTAACTTCTTGCTACAACAAAAGGCATTTAAACAAGTGAGAGCATTCCAATTTAGAGATGCTCTTAACAAACATCAATGCCGACATTTTTTAGTTTGTGATCGATCCCTTCAATCCTTCGTTGTCTTCCTTCCTAAATTCCTTATACGACAAAATTACTTAAATTGGGTCTACAACATGCCCAGTAATCACATTTTTTAAATCCTTTTTTAAGGTGTTTATTTATCAACATACTCCTTGTACATTAACAAATTTTTATTCCGTTATCTTAAACTATTTTGCTTTATATATTGGTTTGAGTCAGTAGTCTCGTTTCACTCATTCTTATGATCTTCAGTTCGTGTGTTTCCGTCTTAATAGCAATAATGCAACATTTTGAATTTAATATTTGTTAGATTACTCGGCAATAACTGATCATTTTTTACACCAGCTTACATACACGAAACAAATATGAAAGCATATGTACAGTGTGTTTCAAATAAGTATACATTAATCAGGCGGTTTTATTGATAGCAAAACTTCAAAAAGAAATTATATTGCTCTCATATTTCAAAAGCACAAAAGTCATAAATTAAATTTAAATATCTTTAAAATTATATTTGTGTCCGAAAGACACATGTCAGTACATACTACATATATAAGTCCCGAAAATTGCGACTGCTTTGAAAGAAGTATGAATTGAAACGATTAGTGGGTTTCTACTCAAAAGAAGTAAAAATGGGTGCGTTTAAACCCATAATAGATAATCGGTTGATGCAATAATGTATCACAGAACTCGATTAACAAATAGGTTTCAATATTATCTACGAAGATTTTGATGATCGGTATTTGTCGTATAAGTATTTTTCTCCCAAATGGATGATACTCCGAAGGAATTGGGTGCAGTCATTCTGGGTGAAGAGATAAGAAATTCGACTAATTGAGCATTAAGGTGGTGTCCTCCAAGTCACTTACACTTTAGTCTTGTGGTTAATAAGTGGACGTTCTGTTCTTAGATTTTTGTAGACATCAATGCAATTGTACTACTGTACTGTGTATACTGTGTGAAACCGTGGAAATTAGTTATTGAGCGAAAGCTCAAACTAAGTAAGGTGTTTGTGTTATTCATAATGATACTGGCAATTACTGTGGTAGGTGTGTTTGCAGGGGACACTAACATAAGTTGTTGAATTGCGACTAAAAGCCAAACAGAATATTAACTTAGCATTGTGTTGATTCGGTTAATACAGCTACGCATCTGTATGAACGTTATCGACAATGGTAGATTGTAATATCATAGCATATAATAATGTATTTTGGTAAGTGAATTTATGAATATAATACATTGCAGTGGTTGGTAATGATTCAAACAAACGTTATATAGATATATTAATGTTGGAACATTATTCTAACGTATTCATCCTGAAGTTGTCAAGACTAAACCTGAATCAAAAGAAATTTATCAAACGCCACGAAATATAAAATTCAGTAAAAGGAAGCTTTTAAACTGGCACAGTTGTTGTGATAGTTGCACGATTTTCTTCTAGATATAAGCGCAAATTAATATTTGATACGCACATTTCAATTTACAACATTTTGCATTTGAAACCGCAATATTATATGAATTCTAGAACTTGATTAAACTCTTTGAAATATCGCCGACGACGATTAACTCTAACTCTGCCAATAAAATGTACGTGTATTAAGACTAAAAGGAGCCGCATATTCTAAATTGTTGCACGTATCCAGAATCCATTCCAAATATCCAACCCATCCGATTCAGAACTATGAATATCAATGTCCATCAGCTTGTAGACAGCCCCCTTCTTTCCATTGTAGTAGCTGTAACCCTTATCCAACAATGATTTTCTTTGTTATGCAAGGCCTTCTAGGTAGCTACGCTGGCATCGTGAAAGGGAACTCCCCGGGCGAAATGTCAGGTACTGGTCAGTATAATATTTCTATCATTATTTCCAAAAAAATCATTTTTGGGCCCTACATCCGTATATTCGAGCTTGGGGAAAGTTGTGGTTCGGTCATTGATTTGATTATTTGCTAAATATAAGTGAATCTTCCCAGTTATTGTACAGGCAAAAATGCACATTGTGAAAAATCTTGAAATCGAAAAACGGTTTATGGGTTTTGGTTCTGATAATCAAATATCTAGTTCATATGATCGAGTGCTTTCATTAAACAGGTAAGTGCTTGTGGTTGGCTTAAAGTTTCTTCACTAAACCCAGTTTTCAAGCTACAATTTAAACAATGTTTAGTAAGTAGGAAAGCCAATGAATAGCAGCAATTTTGACTCAAGCTCAATAGACAATACACACTTGTACATTCATTTTCTATTTTCAATAATAATTAATCTTCTGCAATTAAGTCATTATTAATCTCTATATACTAAATAGGTAAAAGTTTCATTTGCTAACTGCACTATTGTATAGTTAGGGATACATATTGATACAGAGATTCGAGGTGGCAGCATTCGCATCTCGTAAAACGTAAGACATACGAAGACGGTTTAATTAGGGAAAAAGTGCACATTGTGATGCTTAACAAAAAAGTGTTTTAAAACTGGGAAGTTTCCGGAAATATTCGCAGAAAACCGAAATTTGCTCAATGATTTAATTTACTTTCTTCAGTTTATTGACTTTTTTTTCTTCACATTACTAGAACACCTTTTTACTCTCAACAAGATCTGTAAATCAATAATTCGCTATTTTTGTCGTTTTCGGCCACCATATTTTTTTTATACGGATCTGTATGTTTCACATTGGTGGATGTCAACCTGGACATTAGCCGTTTCTTCACTATATCAGATTTTTCATTTACTATCCAAATGTAAGTAGCCTTAATTTAAAATTGCTGTACGACAAACAAGATTTAGAGTTCACTAACGCAAGCAAACGATTTATTGGAAATAAACTTGCTATTCTTTATTAAACTATTATAACGTAACGATTTATGTATGTGGTATGCACTTAACTTAAAATAATAGTGGAAACATTAAATTTTATTGGCTATTTTTAGTGCACTCAATATTCAAAAACATTTCGGTTTTGTGCAAAATATTGCTCAACTTTTTGACGCAATACTTTTAAATCAGGGTCGTACTCCGGGTTTTGGATAATAAAAAGTTCAATGTTATTATAAAGAAACAGCTGGTACAAAAATTACTATTACATTACTGGCATCCGGAGCTTACATAAACCAGTGTCAAACGTACGGAAAAAATTACGTTGATAATGGTGGGCCGAAGACGAAATTTTGAATTCTAGTTTTGATTATGAGTTCAAAGGTTTTATGATCGTGACAATTATTTTAAAATGTCCCTTCAAAAAAGATTAGATTGGTTTTTTTCCGAATATTTCCTAAGAGTCGGAATTTATCCACGTCTAAAACACTATTCTGTTAAGTATCACAACGCGCAACTTAGCTACAATTTAATCGACTTCGAATATCTTGTGGTTTAAAAGATCCCAAAGCTAACACCTCAAATTTGTGACATCCTGTATACAGTCCTGCAACTCGACTACCTTCTTTTTCTACACCTAAACTCTGTCTTTTTGGAAGCTTTTGTTAAGCGGGAAAAAGAGTGCTTACTTGGCAATAATAATAAGAAAATGAATGAAACCTTGAATTACTAAGAATCAATAGTTTGCGATTTAACATACTACGATTAATGTAAACATTCCTTGTCAAAATATTATTATTTTTCACAATTATTTTGAATCGAAAATCCTGTATATTTTTTGCCGATCGGATGTTGAATTGTGAACATCTCCTTTGTTAACAATTATTTTCATATTCCTAACATTCTTTGACCAGCACAAAAACTGTCTAACTCAGAGAACGTCTAAAAAATCTCTTACAATGTACTGGGTTTATAAAGCAGTATGCTTTAATGTTAATTTTTAAATGAAACACCCTGTATTTTTACTGCTGGTTACGTTGACTACTCACTTCCTGTATAAATTTCGCAAATATTAATGTATCTTTGGTAGTTTCCAATACATAAATTAACATTAGGATTTATTTAAATTTTGTATTTATCCAATCAGATTGTATTAAAAATAGATTTATTGCTCCTAAATTAAAATTACCAATACTTAGAGGTTTGTAGTTTAAGGTACTACTATTAACGTACAACTATACATGGTGTCTAAAATTAATTTACAAACTTCTTGAATATTTCTTACCTATCGGATGAAGAAGTAAAAAACAAAGGCACCTGATAATAGCAAACATTTTTATATTCCTAAAGGTTTCCTAGATATTAGTCACTCAAAAACTGTTTATTGCCTACATCATAATTTTTCATCAATTTTTGGACACGTTTTGTCTAGACCATTTCCAAATCCAACTCAACAGAATTTTCTGAAACGAACTACCGAAAAGTCATTTTTTGAGTGACGAATATTTCGGAAATCATTAGGAATCTGAAAAAAATAATTGTTAAGATGTTTTGTATTTTAATTGTACACCTGATAAGCAGGGTGTATAGATAATATACAAGGTGTTCGAGTTGAAGCCACTTTGAAAAATAGCTTTCAATTTTTATAAAGTTGCCAATTAGTTTGGGACACCCCATGTAGAAGATATTTTTAAGTTAATCGTACTGCGTTAAACGACAAGCATCTAGTTATTAGTTTAATTTAGGTATCAAACCTGTTTTGATATAGTTTCATAAATACAAAAATTAATTAAACAATAAGTTTATGCATTATAAACTACCAACACGAAACAAATAATATTGTAAGGTTGTACTCCGGAAGTCAGTAGTCACAACCAATACATAAAAATTACATTAAAACATACTGCTTTTTGGAGCAACATGTACATTGTAAAACATTGTTTAGTTGTTCTCTGAGACATACAGTTTATGTCCCGTTCAAAGAATGCTTCCCAAGTAAACCGTATAGGTGTAGTAAAAGAAAGGAGTGGAGATACATGGTCCTGTACAAACTACTGAAAAGAGCTAAAAGCAGTTACATTTGAGGAAGTTACTTGAATGATTCAAATAATTACTGAAGATACCCTGATTACTCCGTATACCGAGTGAGATAGCGCCGTTGGCCGACGGATCTTCTAAAGACGATCAGGATTTCGATATCGCGCCTTAGCTATGCACATAATTTATTGTTAATGAGTTACTGCTAATTTGCAAGCAGCTTTAAGCTTAACCAAGTTTGTAATTCATACTATGCAAGTTTGAAATGCTTTTAATCGTTAACTCGACTGACAGTAATTTAATGTATAAGTATTGCGCCTTTCGAATAGCAAGGTGTTTACTATAATTGCAAATATGCAATTTGCTATCGTCGTAATAGTGATCTGTCCACTATCATCCTATTTACAAAATATTGTGTAATGTTAATAAGAACATTTTTTTTCTCAAAAGTTAGTGTTACTTGTAAAATGATATTGGTTTTGACTCACTCTTACAAGACTTAATTTTGATGGTTATTAATAATGCACAATAAATTCACACACACGCTTCTGCATCTGTTGATGTTTATCATCAATTCTAATAGATATTTAATGCTGCAGAATCTGAAAAGGTCCGAGAAATGGAACGAGCGGCTGAGGCTCCGCCCCAGGATGCTTTCCACTTCACCGACGACCAGGAGTATCCCCCTCTCACCCAAAATAGCGACTTGAATTAGTGTGTGTATCGAACCTCAATGCATATAAATGCCTTTTTATGTAACGGTAATTTGCCTTATTTGTAGGTACTTGATTGACAGGCCAATGTTTCAATTTAACTTTTTTTCTTATTAGGCTCAATTTTGACTCAAATTTGTCAAACTTGTGGTTGATTAATCTTTAAAACCCTTAGTTTGGAAACATTCGTTTGAAGTGTGTAGGATTAGTATAGACAAATATGTCTGTCAGGAAAAATGCGTATTTTATAAGTAAACTTTATACTCAGTAACTATTTTGTATGAAGGTTCTCCAACTCTCATTCAACTTTAGTTTGGGTTAGTAAAATAATTCAAATTTAGTCATTATAAATAATTGCCAATGTGTGAATTGCTTTATACATAAAAAAGTATAAAAACAGTTTTCAGAAAAAAATATATGGCCATACATATCAAATGGTAAAATAATGAGAATTGTAAAGAAAATGAAATTGTTAGACAAGGCAAATATGTTAAAATTGTGCGAGTACGTACGTTCTTTTGAAGCTACAAAAAATATGTCTGTCATAAGGTGAACAATGCACGCTTGACTTTCTCTTAAGGTATTTTTTAGCGACTTTATAACTTTAATAGGATTTACAATCAATAAATATAATCGTGTTTTTATTTGTACAATTAAACAGTTGAAAAGCCAGTAATCTATTTATTTATTTAAGATTGCAGATATTGGTTGTTATGGACAGCAACTTTTTGAAATTTAAGGTAAGTTCTAGCTTTGTTGTATAAGAAATCACTTTTTAAGAGTAATTATATTTTCTCTCAACTGTTATAGGTTTGATTAGCAAACGGATTGGTTTCAAATTATTGGATAGGACAGTCTTAATTTGGTACTCTTCTACTCATTAAACCCATAATGACAACAGTTCAATCGATATATTAGAATATGTAAGGTTGCTGTCGCTAATAGGATTTTTATTATTACATTCGGGTATTCCCAGTATTTGTCCTTCCTTTTAAAGAAATGTGACATTGCAATAAAATTCTGTTTAAAAATATAGTTAAACATGATTAAACGTAATTTTAGACCCCGCCAGTCACTTTAGTTTAAATGATGAAAAGTTAAAACTGGCAATATCAGACTATAATAATCTGATAAACGTTCCAAAAAATGTTTAAAAATTTATTCATTTCACCATTCAATAATATATAAGTTAATATAAATGTTCTTATAACTACACAGAAGAATAGAAGGTATATTAGGTATTTACATGATAGATAAATACATTGAGATGGCTGTATTTTTATAAAATGTAAGTCAAATTTCAGTTTCATTTCCTATGCAGCGGAGGAATTGCATAACACACACCGTTGATCGTTCAATGTACAGGGTGTCCAATTTTCGCTAGTATTCTAGATACATCTCACAATTTAATATAGTTGAAAAAAATATTAAGCATCGCTAAAAAAAATAAAAATGTCTTTCATGAAATGCATAAAAAATTATGCAAACAAAATATGGATGGATATCTTAAAAATTATAAAAAATAGAATGATAGAAAACTAGATACGCTGTACATATTAGGATACAGAAAATCGAGTGGCTACTATTCGAAACGTTTATTCGTTAATAACCTTCAGACTTACCTGTAGTTCTCACATTTTCTTTAAGTGTCTAAATAAATCAAAACGTTCTGCTTACGGCCTACGAGAAAAGAATAGGTAAGTTTTATACGGATATAAAACAGATTTTGCAATCAACACCCCGTCTTAATAGTAATTTCATGTACAAAAGTCAGTAATGACCGACAAATGGATTTCCAGAAAGCAACTACAATACGCTATAACACAGGAATAAAGCAAAAATGAGACTAGCGTTGAAAACGCTTAAGTTCGAGACCTGGGCAAATTGCACATTGCGCAAGTTTGCACTTCAGCGTCGTTAATGAATGTACAAAATGGACAGGGCCATTTAGGTCCAGTGCGGGCCGGACTTGTATCGGTAGCAGCCACACTTCCAGGTCTGAAAAAAAGAACCAATTGTAACCAAGAAAATTAAAGCTTTAGCATGAAATTGCTAATGTAAGTAATTAATTAATCATGGTCAGTAAATTAGTGCAACAATATGTATGTTTGCACATACGGTCTCATTTTTCTCTGATAAAAACTGGTTAAGTTCGAATTAACCCAGTTAAAAAAATACGTTGAAAATTCAGTGTAGATCTTGAAACCGACGGTAGATTCAAGAGCAAGACATTACGAGTTCTTATTTAAAAACGGTTGGAGACACTATTAACCGAAATGTGAGAAAAAGGCACTTTTCTAAGGCAGTGAAGATTCGAATGATTCATTCATAATATACCTACTTTTAGCCAATTCCAATTTATAACAAAAAAACCAAACAATTTGTGAAAAACATATTAATTCAATGCTTTAAATTGGATGCAATATTTGGAGACAAACAAAATGCAATAACTTACGTGATAATTTCATTGAAAGAGGTGAATTTTGTGGGTTTCTTACCTTGAAGGAGGTGGAGAACTGGCAGCGATCAATTGCTCTAAAGTGGCCCATTGCTCGGTTCTTGACCACTCGACTGCTGCATTTCTATCTTTATTCTTCAGGGCCTCGAGCAGGGGTTCGAGATTTTCGCGCATTGGCAACATATCCATCGTAGCGATGTAGAGCAGCAAATGGAAATCGTTTATTGCTTCGTAAAATTCGTCAAATGCAAATTGCTGCAGGTATGTTGACAAGGCATTGAAATCCTGAAAAGAGTATATATGTTAGAAAAACGTGCTTGATCATCCTAAACAGTATGTTAGTTAGTAAGTTATAGTTTAATTGGGTTAGTAAATATACAGAGTGACATTTTAAGCACTTGCGTAAGGAATGAGATTTATAACAAGTAGAGGGAACTAAAATAATGTATCATGACGACCTAACCCTTTGTTCGTTAAGGGCTCTTAAGCTCATTTATTTTCCTATTAAGAGCAACTGTCGAGAGTAAAACGTAAATAGACCTTGGTAAACCCTACTTGTTTTAGACAGATTGATAAATAGTGCTATTTATCAATCTGTAATAAAAGACGTGAGGAAATTCTGTCTTTTTTAAAGACAAAAATTTTTGAGGCGAAATACCCAAAAAGAAGTTTGTAAAAATGAATCCGCCTCAACAATATAGAACTTATCTACAATAGTATATTACGGTACAAGAGACGAAAGTCGAAGTTCCTCCACTGCTTGAAATTGACGCTCGAGTCGAAACTCGCGTACTGAATACTATTTTTCTTGATCCTCGGTGAAAACTAGCTGGAAAAGTATAAGGTATTGAAAGAAACTTCCACCTTCCACCAAACTTTCCACCAGAGGCTTTTTTAAGAGTATAGTTTTCGAACTCCTGGTACTATAAACATTTATTGAGCTCAACTGAACTAAAATGTTCGTTCATTTTTTTTATCTTACCTGAATATGACCGTCAACAAAACGATTTTCAACAGGGAAGGGTTGCTTGGATGGATCCGAATTGAAAGTATATGTAGGAACAACCGGTGTTGAAGCTGGCACATCCACCAAGAGATATTCTACCGGTAGTGGTCTGGCCAGCCTGGATACTTCGTTGCCATATGAGTCTTTTTCCTGAAACAAATAGAACGCTGTGTTACTCGAAAGGTGCATTTCTGTTAACGTTTGGAGCGACTTATAGTCGAATTCATCGAGCATATTTCTCTACAAGTAGGTTTTTTAAAAAGTCTTTCTACAACGATAACATCTAAGATGGTACAACGTTATGTTTGCAAAATGTACAATACGTTTTTGATTGAAAACTAAAAAGTAAAAAGCTTCTTATTGCAATTTGCAAATACCCTTAAGTTTTCAAAGCCCGTAAACATTTTTCATAATTTTTTGTACGTTTGAAATAAAATAAGAAATCGTGTTGCATTGTAATTTACTAATCGAACCAAGTATTGTTAAAATCCAATACTTGGTATCGAAATAAAGTACTCGTATCGAATCGAAGTATCGCATCCTCGTACATAATCAAATTATCAAAACTATAAACACTGTCACAGTCAAGACTGTTGTCAATCGACTCATTTAACTGAGCTGAAAATAGTGAAAATTGATAAACATCATTAAACGTGAGTTATGTCACCCTTACGCCCTTACTGACCCAGCCTGACTTTTATATGGTACCATATTACGACTAGATCAATTAGATCAATATGCGTTATGACACCTTTACGTGAAGTGCCGCCTCTTAGATAGGGATGATTCGATACAAGTAAATACAAGTAGGTATTCCATTCTTCTGATTTCGATACCGAATACTTTGGTAATTGAATCATTCTTTCGATACCAATACTTGGTATCGAAATAAAGTACTCGTATCGAATCGAATTATCAAAAGTGTAAACACTGCTCAAACTCACAGAACACATATTTGTGAAGATATAGGATATTTTGTGAAGTCTATTGAAGAACTTGAGTTGGATATGTCACAGCCATCAAGTTTACAAGTTTTAATTTTGGTTTCTATTTTGGCGGTATGTTCAAAATACAACAAAACAGTGCAGGCTTTAGCGTTTTTTGTCTGCAATTATTTGCGGCCTTCCAACATTGTGGCAGGAGAAGGATTTTTACGTCTTCTGAAAGTGCTTCAACCTAATTTTAAGATGTAAAAGATGACTCACAAAAAATATGAAGCTTGTATAGCTATAGCTAAAGCTAAATTTTGTCAAAGATTGACAATATTTGTCTCAAATTGGACATTTGGACTTGGATTGAACAATGAACGAGGTTTCTTAGGTGTGACATGTCTTTTTCTTCAAAATAGTAAAATGCATATGCTCTATCTAGCTATTCGTACGCGCAATGAAATATTTGCCCTGTTTGGCTCACACAATAAATCACATTGTTGAAGAGGCTTTAAAATGTTAAAATGACCAAGTGTAAAAATAGCTATATCTAAGGTTCGTGAAATTGTGCTTTGAATAAAAAAGATACGTAATAATGGTTCTGAATAGTCAGTTTTAAAACTTATTGCCGAGATCAAAACAATATGGAACTGAATAATATCTTTGAAAAGTGACCCATTGAGAGACATGCAAATGGTATTTCCTAACTTTTATAAGTGAATATATATTTCTTAAAGCTGGTGGGCTTAAAACAATAGAAAAAGCTTGTCCCCGAAATATTTGCAGCAACTCATTTTTTGGGAAGCCTTCAGAAATAATATTTTTTGTTCAGCTTATGGCAATAAATGCATTAAAATATGTTCCAAGAATTTTATTACAATCCCTTATTTAAACGGCTTTTTTACAGTTAAAATTCACGGTAACAGTTAATTTCGGTCTTGAAAAACTCATCGAAAATGTATACTTAAAATGTGTTTATGACGATTATACGTAGTCACTCAATATCGAGTCAGTCAATAAAATTGTGAGCAGGTAATGGTTTCGATACTTTCCGAATACTGATATGAGCAGTATTGCAAGACGATTTGGTTACTACTCATTTGAGTAAGTATCGATACTTTCAGAATACTCATATGAGTAGTATCGCAAGATGATTCGGTAACTACTCATTTGAGTAAGTATCGATACTTTCCCAGTATCGTATCGTCCCTAGGCCCGCCACTGCGTGCATGACGCCCTCGGCTTTGCCTCGGTCGTCAATTTCAAGCAGTGGCGGAACTTCGACGCATATTCGTCCGAATGCTGCTAGTAGCAAGTTGAAAAATGGATGGAAAACATCGTTGCGATTATTGACCGATAATCGATCGCACCTCTGCAGATCGTACAATTTGTAATATCGAGGGATTTGAACACAGCAGATGTCGCTGGAACGAAATGGTTAGATAATAATTCGAAATGCGCGAATCGATAATGCGAATTTGGGAACGGCGCGAGCGTTCCTTGTAAAGTCAGCGGCGACGCAGGCAATCAGACGTGTCAATCTCTTGGCGCACCGTTCCTAACTTAACTGTAAAGTATAAACGCAGCTCGACGGACCAGTCGTAAACATGATGTGGCAGATCGCGTAGCGGCCACTAATATTTTTAAGTTTTTTTCGTACAAATGCCGATACCGTCGGCATTAAACAACTATTATGTAATGTACACGTCGAAAAGTACACGCATTATAAGCCGTTTTCGTTCCGGACCGCAACCTAAGTACAAAATACACGAAAACCCAAATCCGTTTTGCCGAACTACAGTTTTTTCCTAATTAGAAACGACCAAATAATTATCGCATCGCTTTTTATCGGAAATTTACCAAAGGCTGTGTTACACATCGTATAGTTTTAAAACGGTAAGACCCTCCATGCAAGTAAACCAAAAACATACTGACAGACACAAAACATGATCGTCTGCATGAATGTTTTGACGTGATGTAAGACGCAAAAGCCACTTGTTTGTCAATTTCTACCTGTTTCAAATGGGAATTTTGGCGCCAACTACTCTCCTCAACTCTATCGATTCCTCTGGCAACAGCGTCGTTTTGTCGGTGTTTAATTGCCAAGCTACATTTGCTTCGTTGCCCGCTAATCGTTACTTAATTAATCGACCCAAAATACTTATTTACTACTGCTAAAAAGATAATGAGGCGCAATTCACTACCGTTCTTGAACATCAGGGTTTGACTGTCATTACTACGGGAATACAAACAAAATCATTAACCCCATCATTACTTCTAAACTTGACAAATACTTTATCGCACGATAAAACCAATGGATCTTTTCTTATCCCACTTTTGCTAAAATAGATAGTTCTAAACACGACACATTTCAAAATTAGCCTCAACTGTACAATGTGCTCTAAGAAAAGTGAAACATCTATGAAAAATCTGCTTTTTAATTCGCGAGTTCAGAAGTCCAAACGCCCCCTGGTGGCTAAAATTATAACTACAAGTTAAGTAGTAATTTGACAGTTGTTCTGCTGACATTGGTATCACATTGATGCATACATCTGATTTGTTCTGTTTTGTTCTAAACAACTTTTGCAAACTTTAAAAAAAATAGAAACAAATCGAAAAGTGTGTAAGTATTGTTTTATAAATATCATCAACTTCAATAAACAAGTGTGACAAGTCTCAAATGTCACTCAAAAATGAGTAATTTGACATTTCGCAGCGCCACCATCGGTAGTTGCACTCGCGAATGGAACACCTATACACTATTCAAACATTAAATTCCACAGGAAAAACAAGGGCAGGTTTTAATACTGCCCAATAACGAACAGGTGAACTCTTTTCAAAATATTATGGAAAAAATGTGAAGATATAGGACACAATTTAAAAAAAATGTAAAACAGCTTCCATTAATTTTTGTAAAATAAATTACATTATCTATTTAATCAATGTAATTGTTTATAAATTGTCGGAAGCAAACCTGTTTTTTTTTGTAAGTAAAGAACTCGACTCAATTTTTCCATTATTTAAATTTCATTTTTCCATTAGTTTTTACATCATCGGGCGAAAAATGTAAACTCTTTCTAAAAAACTTTGTACTTTGTAAAAAATCAACCATTTTCCAGATTGATTACAAGAATGATAGCAGTCGTATTGAAAAGTGATAGATTACGAAAAATCCAGTATGTCGGGATTATTGTCTCATAAAAGGTCAAACTGAGAACGATATTGGCATCTCAATGCAGTAATTTATTAATTAGTTAGTAAAACAGCTGTCAAAATGAGTTGAAAGAATTGAAATAATTCTCAACAATGTCGTAAGTAGTTTCAGAAAACATACAGAAATAGTTAAAAGTGGCATTCGAGTTGAGTAAAAATAATTTTGAGAAATTTGGAAATGAGACCTTTTGAACGCTTAATAAATTAGTCTGAGGTTCCAATGATTCGAATTACTAATATTAGTTCATTTTGTTAAGTTTGAAGTATTGGACGCAAACAACAGCCTACTTGTATTTCCAATCGCAATTATCTAGAAAACTGTTGATTTAAGAGGTGTGATGTTATTATATTGATTTTGAGAAAATGATTGCATTTTTCACCTGATGATATAAAATCCTATCATGTCCCAGGTCAAATAAGTGATAAATTTGAGTCTAAACTTAAAAAACACGTACGTGTTCGGAGATCCAAAATCAATTTATATTGAAATATTCTTAATCGTTTAGATTAACACAAATGCATCGTTCACATTTCATCAGCAACAGTTTACATTTTCTATTTTAGACTTTATTGAAACCTATCCGTTCTTTGTGGGACACCAAGTATAGTAGAAACTAATGAATAAAAAATTATTATTCGCATGATGTCTGAAATACGACAGGCCACCCTGTACAGATTAATAGATTCATTCCAATACGTTCTTCAATCAACTATTATTAAGAAATTGGCAAGGATGGTTGAAGTAGTAATAAAGAAAACATACAAGTAATGAGGCAAAGTGAATACAAACGAACCAAACCAGAAGTTTAAAAATATGGGCGATTTATTTCAAATTGTTTTAGTCATGTTTCCAAGATAGCTTTTCAGTTCAACTTCTTCACGTAAATTTGTTATAAAAAAACAAGAATCGCGTTTCGATTCAACTTAGTTCCAAGCAACATTTAGCTGATAAAAGTGGAACATAACATCAACTATGTAATAAGGTGTACTGTTCCCAATGGACAGATTGTCTGTTCTCTCAAGACATACATGTTTAAATATATAATTAGCTGTGAAACCGCGAAGTGATACAATTGAGGAGGTTTACATCTTCATTCAGGTAGGCAATTTGCATTGACTTTTAAATGTTTCATTTCTGGTTGCAAGGTGAGTTTGTGTTTGTGAGTGTGCAAATGTTATAAACAGCTAAAAAAGGAAATAAATGCATATTATATTTTCTAGTCTATCGCATATACAATGTGTCGTCGTTGACGCTTAACGAGAGCAAGAACATTTAAATAATAAAAGATAGCTCAGCTTCATAACAACTCCACAATTTGTTTGAAACGAAAATATAATAAGCTCTGGATGAATTGATAGAATGCATTATTAGATTTTGGTTTATTTGATTACTTAAAAATAAAAAAGCGACAACTTTTTACAAAATTTTTTCATTTCATACAAAAATTATTGTGTAAAGTTCAAATAGTTATGACCTCTCTATGTTCTTCATCTGTTGCAGTTGTTTTGTATTATGATTACAATGATTACAAGCTATTATTTAGAAGAAATTACGGTTGAATTTATGTATAAAAAAGAAAAATTGCCACGATTTCTACATCTGAACAAAAATTTTCTATTTACATTTCCAAGCGCAAAATTAATTATAAATAAAACCTAATATAAAAAAAATTATGATTTATTTCACTGAAAAAATTGAATAAAGAAATTCCAGTGGAACAATTTCAATTAAAACGGAAGAAGTCTTCTTGATATTTATGTTAAATTCCACTCTTCCTCAATTTTAGAAGCTTCAATTATTCCACAAAAGCAGTCCAAATACAAAAAAAATCATGTGCTGATTTCAACTTGTTGCGTAATACAAGAGCCTCAGGCATGAACTCTATTGATTTTAAAGCAACTGGTTTCAGGCGCTCTGTTACCTAGTCATTGCTCCAATTTCCCGAATTACCGGTATTTGTAAATTACGACTTATATTGAATTCGTCACTTGTCTCGGATTTATCAAGTTTAGTTTGTCGTTATGTTTTCAATGTTCACAAATTTATGATTATGAAACAAAATATAAGTGAGAGACGTTATATATTTTAATGTGATCTTGCAGACTGACGACGGTTCCGTAATTTTATTACCTTTTACTCAATCGAAACAATCGAAAACAGCTCGTGCTGTAAAGAAAGGCAAAGCAATTACCCCGAGTTTAATTTACAAATAAATTTTTATGTTTGGAGCAAAAATGTTACATGTCCGATATTGCTATAACAATTTCAACTCAATATGCCATTGCCATGTTTCCATTAAATCAGTTATTTTCAATGAAAGAGGCATCAAGCGAACAAAACCCAAAAAAATGTTGATACTTCTGTGGGTCAGGCAGCTCCATTTCGCTACATAAATTGCAAATACTAAATCACCTGTCTGGCTGTATTTCCTAATAGAAAGAAATGCATTTTTCAGGCAAGTGCATATAAAATTTAAAGACCAAAGATATATTAAAGCCTTTTAACCGAAACACTAAGTAGAAGATGAGCTTTCTGTGAAAAATGAAAATATAAATTGTTTAGTTTGTGAACGAAATATTAGTGCTACTTAAGGCTTTTCGCGAAACAAAACCGTAACAATGCTCGGAGAAATACGTTTTCGTACCACTTGAAAATGATTAGGATTCTGAAGTTTTTATTACGATTACTTACAAATTAATGATTTTTCAGACGCACCGTTTTCATGACAATAATTCATTTCATGTTATTGCCTTTTTTTAATTACTAGCATTTCAGTGTTAAAAACAAGAAAATGCTATCATATTTTTGATGTCGCAGCAATTAAACAGAATATTGGCATATTTTCTGAAATTCTAATTAATTTGACTTAAATTTCAATTATAACAAAGATTAAGGTTGCAGTTAAAACTGTCCTTGGCTTTCAGTGGGCTACGGCTTACTTTACCCCATTGGTTAAATTGTACTGCGAAGCAACTTTTCGATTAGAATCTTTCACATTCATTTTTATGTCTGTTAATATGGGTTGTATTTATTTTTTGACAGTTTTGCAGTTGTCGAGTAGCTCTGCAGCCTTTGCAAGGTTTTAAGAATGTTATGGTGGCATATAGAAATGTTAAATTTTGAGGCGATTTAAAAAGACACTCGTGATAAATAACCAGAATAAATCTTAAATTTATCCATTTATTGCGAAATGGTTAATCCTTTACAAAAATCGCTTAATTCATTAAATCATGGAAACACATTTTGCGTCTAGACAGTCTCTTAAACAGTTTACAAAAAACGAATGTAGACAGAATGCCATGCCCAGAAATTGCATTAACAATAACAAACTAAGAAAAATGAAGCAGAAATACGTTTTACGAGCGCCAGCAAACCCAAATATTTAAACAAAATCGGCAGAAAATGATTAGCTGGTTTGAAAAATGATAATGCTTTACTTTAAAAAAATTTCCATCCTATATTTCGCATTGAACTCCGTACAGAACACGGCTTTTATGCTAAGTAACCCACACATTTTTTTATTGTATGGATGGATATATGAACATTTGTTGGATACAAACAAATTTGTTTAGTGCAAACTCATTGTTTTACAATGGGTTACAACTGTAAATGTTGGAGATGAAGCCTAAAGTATTGAAAATAAAAAGGCAGAAAATGTACCTAAAAAATAGATCTTTAAAAG